GCTCCAAGTTTTGCAGAGCRCAGCAAAGCACAGCCACTCTAACCCGGCTGTTAATTGGAAGCAAAGCTGGCCTGAAGCTCTGCATTTAAGGTTTCTTTTGGAAGAAGCACCTTGCACGAAATTCCCCAAATCTGATACCCTGGTAGTGACATAYCAGCTGAGGTTGGTGTTTAAGGGGGTGAGCACTGTTCATGGTGGGAACTGGGAGGATTTGGGAGTGTTGTGGTGCACCCCAGCCCCCCTCCCCCTTTTCCAGGCTGCAGTGTGATCTGAGAAATGCCACCTTCCATACCTCCATCTCCTTCTTTTCCTGTTCTGTGGGGTCAAGTGGTTTGGGATGACTCCTGAGGTCAGGACTGGTGGAAGCCCTTGGTGGTCAGCTTCCAGTCCTGCCCCCATTCTCTACTGGTTTTGTCACAGTCTCCGTTTCTTCAGGGCCTCCTCCTCGTTTGGCTGCCCCGTTTTGGCAAGAGATTGGTGCTCAGGCACTTGAGCTGGGTGTAGGTGACAYCTGCCTGCACTGAGCCCTTTGGAAGTGTCCAGGCCAATGGTGGCTCATGCTGGAGCTGGGAGCCCATTTGGCCACCTCCCAGGCTTTCCAGAGCCTCCAAACAGCTCCTTAGYCCTCCCTCATGCTCTTCTGATGCTTCTTTAGGAACTGCCCCATGAAAACACTCACCAAAGGGTTGTCAGTCACCACCTCCCAGTGAGTGACACTAATCTTAACAATATTCCTGTTTATGATGAGATGCTGATGYTCCTCACGACCCTTGTCAAGGCGAGGACGCTCTGCTCCCCATCAGGGTGCTGGAGGCTGCAGGACAGGGATGGGACAGCTCATTCTGCACTGAAAGGGTGCTCAGCATTGCAATGGGCTGCCCAGGGACGTGGTGGAGTCCCCATCCCYGGAGAAGTGCAAGGAATGACTGGATGTGGCACTGGTCTGTGTGACAAGGCGGAGATCAAAGGGTGCACTCGGTGATCTGAAGCTCTTTCCCAGCCTCAGTGACTCAGAGATTCTGTGGCTGAAGCCCCTCAGCACAGTGATGCCAGCAATTCCCCTGGTTTTGGGAGCCACCGAGATGGGACCATCCCTGTGCCAGCCCTTCTCCTGTGCTGCACAACTCAACCCTGGGATGGAGATGGCAACCTTGGGCYGATCCTAGCTCCATGCTGGGTGCCAACCCACCCAGCCAAGGCCAGACAGAACATGGGGAATGAGGCAAGACAGMGCTCACTGCCACAAACAGCTCCTGGGAGGAATTCTGTTTCCAGTGAAACGGCTCCTCTGTGGGTGAGAGCATCCAGATCTGTGGGATCAATCTGTCCACACATCCAGAAAYTCAGGGTGGGCTGAGTTTGCCAAGCTAAATTATTCTCTGAGGAAGGGCGGCTGGGATTTCAGCTGGGTTTGGTATTTCGCCCTGCCCTCGGCTGTCCTGGATACGGCATTTCCCTCCGAGGCAGCTGCACTCCAGCACAGACCTCTGTGCAGCAATGCCAGGTGGCCAGAAAATGTGCTCCAGCCCAAAATCTGGCTGCCTTTCCCTGCTGGATGAATTATCTGTGAAAATCTCTCATGGCTCGCACAAAACAAGGTAATTATTCAGTGAGCAGGGGACACACAGAGCCAGAATATGAAATTATTATCTGTTAGTGATTTACAGAGAACCACAGACGGTGTCAAGGAACAGCAGCTGAATCAAACTTGCTTTGGCAACCTGSAGGCTCCCAAATGCTCCAAGCGCCCCAGAGAGCTGATGGAGAGCTCCCAGTGGCACTCCTACAGCCAGGGGAATGGGCTCCCGGGTGTCACAGCGCTGGGTGGCCCACAGAGGGGGAGGACGTGCTTTACCTAAACCCCTGAGATTTTGGGAGGGCAAAGAGMATGATCCAGGGAAGGCTTTTGCTGTCTTAAACAACARCCAGAGGYTTCTGGGGTACAAAKRGAAGATRTCCCTGCCCATGGCAGGGYGTTGGAGCGAGATAACCTTTATSATTCCTTCCAATCCAARCCATTCCATAGTGAAATGGTGCATCTGATGGATGTGAGCAGCCTTCTAARCTCTCAAGGCTTGAAACTGCTTTGCTGCCAGGGCGGCTCTGCTGGAAAATCACTGAGGCAGCGGCTTTCCAAGCGTTTCTTCTCACACTTCCTTCAGTAGCAGCTTTACAAACACTCTTCCTCAGCCAAATGTTTCTCCCTTGGCACCCGTGACTGCTCTGATAGGTTTTTTGTTCACGTTCTCAAACCAAACCATTCCTTTTCCTTCAGCCCTAGGTGTTTCCACTCCATAACCCCCATGCCCTGACTTTTGGGTTTCAATTGGTAAGGGGGAACGGGTTCAAATTAAAAGAGGGCAAGGTTAAATTTCATTATGAAAARGTTCTTTCCTGTGAGGGTGGTGRGGCCCTGGCACAGAGTGCCCAGAGARGCTGTGGGTTATCACTGCCCCATCCCTGGCAGTGCCCACGGCCAGGCTGGACAGGGCYTGGAGCAGCCTGSKMYAGTGGAAGSTGTCCCTGCCCAGGGCAGGGGTRGAACTGGGTGATCTTTAAGGTCCCTTCCAACYCAAACCATTTCAGGACTCCATGATTTACTGTAATAGATCACAGACGGCATTTCCCGTATCCAGGTGCGCTGTCAAACCCCAAAATCTGAGCATACCCAGTCGTCCACCCCCTCATCCCGCAAAGCCCTCCCCTGGAGCACGGCAGCCCCTGAACGGAGAGGAGGGATCTGTTCCCAGCCATCCGCTGCCTCTGCCAAGCTCTGGCTCCTGCTTCCCACCGACAGACATTTCCCAATCACAGCCCAGCATCCAGCACAATGCAACTCATGTCATGAAATTAAGTATTTCTCCTACACACAGCACATTTGCCCGGTGATTAGAATGAGTCCCCGAGGTAGCCAAGCGCAGCAGAATTCTGGTTCATTATGCACACCCACGCAGCCAAGCTAAAAACCCAAGACACTCCCCCTGTCCTTCTTGGGAAAGCCTGAGCAGCTCAGATTTCAGTTTCACCACTTGCACCAGCCAGGACTGGGAATACTCTGTCATCTGCTGTAGAAAAGAAGGTAAGGGTAGATGTTTCCCACAGATTGCAAGGTATTCCTTAAGGTCTGAGAAAGAGGGAAGGGTATAGGAACACAGGAGCGTCAAGCAAACGGAGCAGATCACACAATTGTTAGTAGTTACTGCCTTTTGGTCATTCCATCTTGGATCTACAGTGAGCTTTCAACTCCAAAATGCCTTAATTTTCCCCATTTCTCAAAGCACCTGTTCTGTGTCATGTTGTACAAAATGACAACTACTTGATTTTAAAAAAGAGCAATTATTGTGTGTGTGCAGTGTATGACACGTCCTTGCTGCAGCAACTTGAGTCCAACTCATTCCCCAAATGAAACGGGGCCAAATCTTTCCCGTGTTGCCACCGGAGCTGCTCCCAAGCGGCAGTTTAAGCACAGGGAACTGCATTTGCCGTGCCCTGCTCCGTGTTAGAGGCAGATCCAGCCGTGATCAGCCTGGGCTGTGCCTGCGCCCTGKGCATGAGCCGGAGCCAAGGGGAAGCAAGTTCACGGGAAGGTTTTCCTTTCCCCGCAGACACAACCTCCTGCCTCATTCTCTCTTCCTCCCATTCTCTTTCTCTCAAGCCTCCAGGCGCAATTCTGCCACTTCCCCTGCCCTGGTGACTCCAGCCCTTCTCCGAGTGAGCGGCTCTGTTCCTCCTCACC